TTATGTGTGGAAGCTACCAGAAACTAAAAAAAAATGTGCACTTTTTCCTCTTGACATCAAAAATCCACCTTCTACACAAAGTACAGATGCTTATGACGCAGGATAGAACTTCTTTGTATTTTTGCAGATAGATTTTGGATATTAAGTTAATTAAGTTAATTTTCATCTCATCACAAGCCCAGGAGTTACAGGATTCAGCTGTGGCCAGGCTGCACTCACTTGTGCTATCCTGAACAGACCTTTGAAGTGAGAATTTACTAAGTAATACCATAGTGTTTGATCTTTGCCTTCATGTCTAAATACCCATGCAGTCCACTGAGGATCTTTCTCAGACTTGGAAGGAAGCACACGTTTTGACTCTATGCAGAGCAGCAAAGAGCATAACACTGCTCACCAGCTACAACCACGTTTCGGCTGACACAGCTTAGCAGTGGCTTGGCGGCTGATGTGCTGTGACTGCTACCTTGAGTGCTGTCCTTCAGATTCAGTTCCCCACATGCAGCAGCCATCTCTCCTCTTACAATGGTCCTGGAGGCAAGCACGGTCTTTTTATTCTGGGTTTGTTTTGGATCAAATGTAATGAGATTCCTGGTCCAAGACTGGTAGGCATGAGTATAAGGAATATAACCATTTATAACCATTTAACCCCAAATCCACATTCCTTCGTGTACCCCAGCACTCAAGAGAAAACTCTGGAAATAACAAACACTGGTGTGGATCCAAGGGAGCTTTTTATTGTGGAAGAAAGAGTCGCTTTGTGCTTTTATAAATTCACAGGAAAGTCACAAGTTTCAATTCTAACTAAAGAAATATGCCATGTTTTCTTACTGTTAGATGAAAGAGTCAAAGGCTACATCTGAATTACTGAATAAAGCAGTGTGGGGACCTCCTAGTCAAGTAGCATCACACAGACCATGTCCATGTGCTGAAGCTTTCTCCATGTTTGCCCAGAAAAGAGCAGTCCCATACAGACTGCCTTGTGGGAACACATCCTAACAGATGCCATGTTTTAAGCTGTACCTGGATGTTTTCAGGAAAAGCACAGTCTGTGAAAGAGCAAAAATCAAGGCAGAAAATAAACTGTCAGTCAGCATGGATGATCATAAGCCAGTGCCTGACACTGGCTGATGGACATGGATGATGATGGATTATCATGATGAACATGGATGATCATAAGACAGTGACTTGCCATTCCTCAGTTGACTGGTGCAGATGTAACCACAGAGAACACTCTGTGTGTGTTACCAGCACTGCACTCTTCTTTTGGGAAAGGCAAGCCAGAAGAGGCAGGGTTCCAGCAAACAAACCTACTCTGTCATGGCCACACAACTGCTGGTCGCTGGCTGCAGGGTAGGAACAGGGACCTGATTCTACCCTCAGTTACACAGGCACAGATTTGGAGCAGCTGCAATGAAATCAGTGAAACTGCTTATGGGAGCAAACTCATACCCTGTGTATGTGGATTGTCTTCCACCTTCAGTCCCATGCCAGCAGAAGGGTCTGAAGAAACCGAATATGACTACAGGTTCCACAGTGCTTTCAGCGCTGCAGCTGGCTCTTGTTTATAAGAAATGTAGTAATTAAATCCAGATACAAAGGGGGAGGAAATAAATGCACCATGGATGTAAAGGATTTCAAGAGCTCAGCAAGATCCACATTAGATTGGACTTTTCAGCTTGAACAGAAACAAACACTGTCCCTTGGGCAAAAAAAAAATTCTAATAATTGTGAAGACATAATTGCTAGTGCAGACCTAGCATGTTGGCCTACTAATTGTCTTCACCATTCAGAAATAGAGAGTGGACGGAAATGTTCCTCACTCAATTGCCTACATAACAATTTTTCAGGAAGGGATCTCCATTTTGCTCCAGACCTGTTTGTGATTTGTGTGCAATTATTTTGTGCTCCCAGAACATTCAGCCATTTGAATCCCTCAATTAGCTCAACACTCTGACACTTCTTTTTATAAATAAGATTCTGGCTCACGCCCTGGCACAACTAACCGATCACTCCATTATCACTAGTAGGGCAAGGAGCAACAAAAATACATCAGAATAATAGAGTATGCCTGAGAAGACTTCTGAATCCAAAGGAAACAATCTGGATCCCATTTTCCCCTCATTCCCACTTCCCTCATAGCATTGATTGTCAATATCTCATTTCTGATTTAAATTGATGCAAGCCATGGCTTAAAAAACTGTATCAAAATAGTGAGCATCAGCAGCTTCTAAGTTTCTGTGATGAATTGAATAAAGTTGGGAAAAAAATTTTGCCAGAAAATACCCAGGTGACTTAGGACCCTGCATCTCATTTTCAAGAGGGTCTTTGACAGCGGGAATAGCAGAGACACCCAAAACTGAGGCAGATGTCTTGAGGAACTGAGAAGTATGTCTGCTAAGAACAGGGGGTAAACTGGTTCCCAGCAGACTTCAGCAAAGACTGTGCAACCCTGCCCCTACAGCTGGAAGCGGTGACATTGCACTGAATGGCACCTAACTTGCTACTGCTGGGCTAGTGGTCACTCATGGCTGCAATGCAGGCATACCCTCAGTTAAAGTATAAGGTGATGATCTTTATGGCTGACTGAAGGATTTGCATAGGCACCTTTGCACACACACATACATTTCCATTGTACAGCTTCACCATTGCAAGTTAAAAATTATTTTGCTTAGACCTGCAAAACCAAGAAAGCTTTTGGGCAAACACTAATGGACCAGCTAGGACCACTCACAAGTTGAGGGCCATCAGAGAATATAACATGCCTTAGATCTGTATGGCTGGAGAGAAATATTGCCAAGACAGACACTGGGATAAGAATCTGTTTCCAATTTAGAAAGTAGCTGTCTCCCTTCCACAGTGTGTGGCGTAATCATTCAGCTGAAACCTTTAGTCTGGTGGGAGTCAGTCCTTCAGCTCTGTGTTAAGACTAAACAACTGAAAGAAACAAGCAGTACAAATAGATAGTATTTCTGCTGTCCCAAAGTGGCTATGGTATGAAGGCTTTTCCTCCTAGGAGCTATTATATAAGAAAGTGTTTCCAAAGCAAACCAGATAAAATATTGTGTGTAAGAATGGTGAAGGCAACTGAGTTTTCCATTTATGTTCATCTCAGCTTCTCGGAGCTCTCTGGGATAAAACTGGATTAATGATTCATCTGCAAACCTCATTTTTAAAGCTCATTGTTAGTCATCTCGAAAGATACATTATTTTCTGAAGAAGCAGCTTAGCTGGCTGGATAGAAGTATCTCTCCAGTTTTGAGAATGGAAGCTAACATGCAGCTGGATCTCAGGATTGCTGGCTCTTGCTAGCCAGTGCTCCACAGCTACAACTACAGCACCATGCAGATGTACAAGTTCAGGTCCCAGAAGCAATACGGCCATAGCACTGTGCCAGGGTTAATTAGCCACAGCCACCAGCATGGATAGTTAGCAATACTATTCATAGGCTAGTTTTTGCAGCTAGAGGAGGTATCACTGTGCGGTGCTGCATTCAATATTGTAGACCTGCTGTTCATGTCATAGTTTACAGTGGGCATAAGAAGCAATGGGTAGGCCAGTGCAGAAAAAAAAACCTAAAAATCTTTTATTTCAGGGCAACCCAGGAAAACGAGGAAGAGGGACAGACAAAGGAAATCAAATTCTAATTAGATCAGTACAATATAAGAAGAAGTCATGTAAGATTATAGCCTTCTAATTCACTTGAACCTCCCACTTTTCCCACTTTTTGCAAGAGGAAGTGACCTCAAGAGCCACAGAATACACAAAATGTTGTACAGGCAGCCACAAAAATTATTCCAGGAGAGCTTGGCATATCTCAGGCTCTGACAGCCACAGTATAGTGTTTGTAAATGTGGTATATAATTTCCAGAGATCTAAATTACTTACTAGAGCCTTCACATCAGCTCTGCAACTACTTAAAAGAGTTAGACAAGTGTAAGAGATTTAGGATCCAAAAATTCATGAGTCGGCATGGATCTAACATAATATATGTGACACAGTGAGACCACACAGGGTGAGCAGGTGCTCCCTGAGTAACAGAGATTGCTCCTGACGTCAACCTGTGCAGGTCTCACCAGCTTTGCTTAATGAGGTAGAAGTTCCTCAGCGGAGAACAGGAATTTACACATAACATGCCAAATGAAAGCTATCCTCCTTCATTTTCTTTATATTTTCCAGTCTTAGAGGGGCATCTTAATAGCTTTGTTTGTGTGTCTGATTCCTTATTTTATTGCTCTAATTAGTATTTAAAAGAAGGTGATTTAGATATTTACAATCTTCTGATTAATTTTAGTAAGCTTTGGTAAGCTGTCAAAAGTACTAAATGTACAGCAGGCACAGCCACACATCTAAGAAATAACAGGAAAATTTTATCTTTCATGCAATCTCCTCCCACTTATATATTGTCACATGAAGAATAATTGAAGAACTGTAGTTCTTCTTGCCAGCCTCACAGACAGACAGACAGCCCAACTTTGGTAGCCTCTCACAGCAGCCAGATGGCTTTCATTCAGAAGGGTGCTGATCTTTCTAGATGTGTTTGTCTCCTCTAGGCTCTTCATCCAAAGCTCATCAAAGCCAGTACAAAGACTGCTTTTAGTAGGCTTCCTAAATCTTTTCTTTTTTTAAGTAAATGCTATTTATTTCCTATAAATAAACCTTCTTTACTAAATAAGGATCATAATTTCTAGTTAACTCATCTTCTAGTACAAAATGCAGGAAGAAGCTGCCAGCTCCTCACCCGCAGGCAAGCACCCACTGCTGGCCAGGGGCAGGACACAGGCAGGATAAATACTGTAAGGCAGAAAAAAGCAAGCACCAGGGCAGAGAGTGAAAGAACAGACTCGAGTTCAACAGCACGTGTGTGGTCTGCTGTGATGGGGTTGTGCAGTGTGCTCTGGGGAGACCTGGTGGTTGTAATTCTTGCTTTCCCCCGCCTCTCAGCCAAACCTAACTCTCTGAATGCATATGCATAGGAAATACTTTTTTTTTTTTCATTGCAGGGATGCCAAGAAGGATTTTATCGTGCCAGCTCAGGAAAATGCTCTCCTTGCAACTGTAATGGTAATGCAAACAGATGCCTAGATGGATCTGGAATCTGTGTGGTAAGGAATTCCTGTCTTCTCTGCTGGTCCCTCAGTGAATAACAGTACCTTTTTTAATAACACTACTTTTTTTTTTTTTAATGATAAGATGAACCTTTTCACCTTCTTTCACTCTTGCATGAGGCTTCACATGAAGGAAATATTTCCCAGGCAAATCCAAGAAACTGCGCACCATGGTCTGACTCCTCTATTAACACCAGTGCTCAATTTCAATACACAGCAAAAGCAGTGTGTGTATCACAGGAGCTTTTTGCTGAAGGGCAGTCAAAAGTAGGGCCAAGATCAATACATTAGCAAGATTATCCTAGCCAAATTTCATTCTCACTTATTTAAATTATCACCGTAGATTCAAAACACTTCCTGCATGCAGTATTTGTGAGAGCCAGTATGCTGGGGAAAGTTTTTAGACTATCAGAAATATGGAAAGAGTTTTGTATAACCCCAGAGAAAAATGTATAAATTCAAACACATTTGGTTCTCTCCTTTATGAATACTGTGCTGTATATCATATAAACAATTTACAGTGGTGAATGACCCCTGCAAGTGTATACACATATGTTATCCATAGTAATTTTGCTGCATGGAAAACTCCTGCTGTGAAGAAACAACATGAGGAGGCTGAAATAATATACTAAGGGAAGAGC